ATACTGTATATATATATATATATATATATATATATATATATATATATATATATATATACACACACACCAAACACACAAAAAAAAACCATCACGCTTCATCAAAGATAAAACAGGCTAGCATGGAGCTTCTGGAATGACCCTGACCTCAAGCTTTAGCAAGAAAATCTCTGGAATTCACTTAAAAGTTGAGTCAATGCCTGAAGACCAGCAGTGTATCAAGTTCATAGCTTTAAAAGCCAAATGTGTTGTGATTTCTCTACAACCTGCTAAGGGAGGGGATGAATAATTTTAGCTCCTTTGTGGAATTTTGACCCACGAGTTAATCTAGCAACATTCATAATAAATTAACTTCTTGGTAATAAACTCATTTTATAAATGTAATGTAAGGTACTTTAAGAAAAAAATCTAATGGCTTAAATGTCTCCAGAATGATGAGGCCGTCATGTTCCTGAGGAGAGGATGTAAACCAAACCAGTAACTATTAATTGATCAAGTTAAACTTATCTTGGTTTCTCTGGGAGAAAAGCCTTTTTTTTAATTACTTCTGCTGACCTTAATAAGATTTTTGTACATGATAATTATTCAGCTTTAAATGTAGATTAAAGCAACACTGTAACTTTTAGTCACTAGGGGCTCTAGATCTGCAACTTCTAGGTTTAGCGCCCCTGGCAGCACTGCACTCCGGCAGGTAGCAGACTGGAGCTGATTTATGGCCATAAACACTTTTTTTTTTTTTGTAAAAAATAAAATAAAACTTTAAGTGGAAAAAAAACATTTAACTGGAAAAAAGCTCCAATGTTCTTTTTTCGTTTCAGATTTTTTTTTTTGCTGCTTCAAAAGTTTAGTTGATGTACCACATTGCATTCAGAAATTATGGGAACTAAAAATGTCTATAAAACATCATCAATAATCTATTTTATAGGTTTGGTTTTGAAAAAACATTGAAAAATTGAACTACATGTATCCATCCTGTTTTGGTTAAAGTGTTTGCAAAAGAGAGCATCATTCATGACAATACAAGAGTTGCTTGGGTACCAATCTCCCATGTCAGGTTTTTATCCAATCAGAGCAGCAGTAAGAGCTGTGCCTTATCACATTCTTCGGTCGTTTCACAACCAGCAGAGTTGACCTTTAAAGTTCACTTTTTAAAAAATGCAACCGCTTTTGTCATTTACTTAATCATATTTAGTTAGTTTAAACATCTGTTTCATGTTAGCAGGGTAGGACAAAAAACAATTGTGTTAAAGTACCTAAATATGATTAAGCAAATGCCAAAAGCGGTTGCATTATTTTTTTCAGTGTTGTTGAATACAGCTCAGATTAAGCTAATACTTTCCAGAAGTTACACAATGTGGTGTTAAAAATAACTTTATTTTTTAGATTGAAAATGTGTTTTCTTTTACCCTCATAGTTTTACATTATTTCCATATTTTACAGATTTCTATCTAAAATATGTTTTTATAGTGTTTTTTTTCTCAGTCTTCTGTGTTTCAATCTCCGTCTAACTGATACTTCAAACGGCAGCATTGTCCTTATGTGAATATTTTGCTACAATTGTTAAAAAACAAACATTGAGATTTGTCTAATAAGCTACCGCCTCACATTGCCGGTTACTGTATATGTTTTCCCACGTGTGTTCCTTAAAATACAGATACCCAGTTTTACACAGCCAATGTCAGCAGTGTTTGCTCCTTTTTGTTAAATGAACCAATCTGTTCCACCTTTTACACAATGTTTAGCCTGCTTTGGACGTGTTTAATCTGGCACTCTATTGGTTCTTATAAATACACACAGCTGGGATGATTTTACTCTCTAACTCCTGCCTAAACACTTTTCCTTCTCTTTGTTTTGACCTTCATCAGCTACTTTTAGCTCAGAGGAGCCAGTGTTGAAAATATTTCTGTAAAACTGCTTACCAGTGACACCTGGTGGCTGGATTCAGCACTGCATCGGCTTCTATGCACCCTGTGACCAACTTTTAGGAATTAAGAATCCCCAGAAGGAAAGAGGATTGCTTCTGTCATTCTCCACACATGCATAAGTGATTAAGGAGAGCAACGCTTATCTTGATTAACATCTCTGTTTTCAGTAGCACTCCTCTGTCACTCACAATAACAAGGTCATCCTGTAAGTTGATCTGTATGCAGTGTCATTCAAGAGCAAACTGGTAATTCAACCTTGACCACTTAGGTACGTAAGAATGCATAACAAGATGGGAAATGGATATAGACTGTTTGTACAGTGGGATGATTTCACTGAACCCTACGACAATTAGCAATCTATCTGTGGGGCGGGAATTAAAGAAAAACAGTGCTCTTAAATACCAGTCATAATTAAATGAATATTTCAGAAAGGGAAATAAATAAACCCAAAGTCACTTAGAGTTCTTTTTTTTTTATTGGCACTGTAAGCAGATTTTTTGAATTGAGGCAAGGAGCTGCAGAGATAGAATAACATTAATCTCTACTGTTGATAAATCAGCACTGAAATGTAATTAAAGTAGTGGGCTTACGGCGATAGTTATGCTACCTATCAGGTTTTGAGGAGAAACATGAGGAACTACACTGCAAACTATTCGGTTCTTACCAAGATAAAAATAAGTTTATTTAGAAGTGATAGATAAGTTCTAATTTTAAGTGTTTAGCATGCTTATTTCCGTGTTTAAAAATCTTAAATCAAGAAATTGTGTCAAGAAAAATTATTTTTCTGCATGGACAGATGCTTTACTTAGTTTAAGTAGCTTTTCTTTGGATATATTAATTATTTCTATTTATAGACCCCCACCACCACCACCACCTTTCTTTTTTTAGTTGCAGTCTACATTGTCCTTTCACAGGAAAACGATAGCAGATTATCACACATTAGCAAATCGACTGGCATTTGGACTTATACTGTTTTACTCTACATCCCTGGGTCTGACCATATGTTTGGGAGGCCACTGACCGTTTGAAAGGTGAACGCTTGTAGTGTCTGACAGGTTTGCCATCAACATAGCCCTGTAATTAGCTCTATATAGTTCCAGTTTTCCAAAGAAAATGCTTCCCAAAACATGGCCCTTTGTTTCAGAGAAGTTGTTTTTTTTTTTTTTGAATAATTGGAAGTGTTTGCATTGAGTATTCACTGCAGAGCCTTTCGTTCCTTGTGTTTGTGTCCCCTACCTGGTCAAAAACTTTCAACAACTTTTCAACTTTTTTTATAGTCCTCTTTTAAACCGCCTTTCATCCCCCCATGCCACAGCTTGGAGTCCATCAGATTTTTATGATAAAAAACTTAAACCTGTTTCCCATTTCACAGTCATTTCCCCTCTTCTTCACCTATTTTCTCTACAGAGCAGGAATACAAGACTGAAGACTTTTATAATAAATACACATATTTAAAGTCTTTTATTTATTTTCTTTTATTTAAAGAAAAATGTGTTGTTATCAGATGAGATCAATGTTCAACATTCTGTCCATGAGTTCAGAAAGCAGTTTTTTTGGAAACTGACACCGGCTTTAAACAAACAATACACCACACTGACAGCTAAGCATAGCAGTGGCAGCATCATGCTTCGGAGCTGGTTTGGTTCTGCTGTAATTGGGGCAATAGCAGTGGTGGTTCTAGGTCAAAATTACTAGGAGGGCAAGATGGGCCAGTATTTTTTCATGTTGGCCCTAAACAAAAGCATAAACCAAAACAAAGAAAAAACAACAACCAAAAATACAAAACACACCCCCTTAGTTTTTTATCCTTATGAAAAGAACCTTTTTTACGAAATAAAAAAAGCAGTTTTTGAAAATTAGAGAGCAGACATTGCCTATTAAAGATGTATCATTCTGGTTTCCCCACACCTCAAAATACTGAGAGCTGCTATGAAATCAGAATCATCCAAGTGGGAACACTCTAATGCATCAACTTAAATTAATGTTCCAGTTTGTTATTTGTTGATTTTGATGGCTATACGTCACATCTGGGGGAAAAAAAAAAAAATAAATAAATAAATTGTTTTATTTTCTCTTAAAATCCTTTAAACATACAAACGTGTCAAAGGCAGAGTGGAACAGTGCAGGCACATAAAGTAGATTTATTTCATGTATTATTTTTCAGAACAGAACAGCAATATTGAATTCAATATAGTCATGTGACCGAGATTCCCCGCTGCTCGGAATTTCAGACCGATGTCGCGCGCGGGATTTATGGGTTGGGACGTTGCTATGGAGACCACTGTGTTTTGCTTCTTCTCACAGCGCAACTTCTCCCCACTCACAGCGAGTGGGAGATCGTGCTTGAACTTTGGATAGAAACGTCTGTGAGGGAAACTGGGATCAGAACTGGGATCTAGTGCGGCTGGTTCATCAGCCTGAGCTGTAATGGCTGGAATGACTGGTTTACCCTGCAGGCAGGTGGGTCACTGCTCCAGGTCTTAGTTAGTATTTATGATGTGGTAAAGTGTAAAAAAACAAACAATCTCTATGTCTCTTTGACTGTCTGTTAATTTCATTCTTTTCTTTCTTTTTTTTTTTTTCTTTTAACAAACTTCGACAGAGAAACAAATATAGAAATAGTAGTTGGGGACACAAATCGTTTTTTTTTTGTATTTGTGTTTTTTGTTTCAAAGTTTGAAGACGTTTCGCTTCCCATCCAGGAAGCTTTTTCAATTCAAAATTTAGAATTTGAATTTCATTGATTTTAAATTGAAAAAGCTTCCTTTTTTTTTTTTTTTTTTTTTTTACTTTTTTGGAATGATTCTGACCTGAATGACTGATAATCTTAATCAGCATTTGTTTATGTGTTTTAATTTTTAGTGACTGAGTATGGACAATAGCACTAATTAAAACAGACATGCACACATCTCCACCTACAGTGATTTAGAGGTATAACTTGGAATAAATAACCTCAAATTTTAAATAATTAATATTCACACATTAGTTACCAGTTAACTCAGCAGTCTTCTTCCTGAACATGAAGCTCAGACTTGATTAGGGATGAAGCTTTTACCTGCAGAGAACCCCTGCATGCACAGAAGAACATCTGAACTCTGTGCAGAAAGACACCAGACTGGCATTTAAAGCCACATTCTAGTAGCGCAGCAGCAGCAGTGCTAACAATAGCTGCCCAGCAACACATTGACAGTATTGGTTGCCCAGAGTGTTTGGTTTGTTTAAACGGCACCGATTTACAGTGTCATTACAAGGCACTGTGCAGAACAAACATTCAGTTGTTCGATGGGACCACATACAGATGCAAAAACATTAATAACTTTACAATTTGATTATGATATAAAGGATTTATATTTCTATCCTTAGGGGGGAGAATTTATTAATAGAGATCAAGCAGTAAGTAAAACAATATAAAGGTTAGAACACACTTTTATTTTTAATTGAGGTCTGGATGCAGTGTCCATTTAGGAATTACACAGAAATAACTATATTGAATAATTTAGTTCATTGGACTTTGTTAAGCCTTAAAAGGTAAACTATTCATGTTATTACTTGAGCTATTTCTTACTTTAATGAATTATTGGTTGTATTTTTCTCCTGTTCTTCTTATTAGTTGCGGAATAATCTTCAGACTAAAGTAAAACCCGGTGCTTTGTTCTTTCATGGAAAATCAGATGTCAAACATTTAAAGCTTTTAATCAAAGAGTTCAACAGCCTTCCTTTAGCTGAGCTGTCTATTTCTGTTTCAGGTGGACCCTGATTTGGATGCAACAAGAAACTTTTAGCTTGTATCTTCTAACTAATAAGAACTTAGTATAACAATTAGTATAACAAATTAAAGTTATTCTTATGTTATAATTTGGAAGTCAGGAATTCTTTCCCAGTCCTAACATCAAAATCCAATATGTCTGCTTACTGTATAGCAGGATGTCTCACAATTTATATAATCAAAGCTATAGTGGAGGATGTTCCTTTTCCGGATGGATATTCAAAATAAATGGCCCTCCTAAATGTCAATCTTCCTGGTGATATGTTTATGTAAGGCCGTCCTACGCGTTTGTCCATATTTTTAACGGTGGTGAGTCTGACATGGTGGAAAAATAGCAAATCTTCTTTTTTAAAGTAAGCTTGTATGAGCGATGAGAACAGCAACTTTTAAATGGAGTGTGCACAAGGAGAAATCAGCTTGTGCACGCTCTTGCACACGTTTAGTAGGCGTTGTCTCTCATGAACAGGGACAGGGTTGCGCATGTGCATTTTTTTTTTTAAAGCGGAGAGTTCGGTTCTTTTAAAAAATTTGCAAATCCTCCATTATACCATTAAGTTTTGTTCGGCTAACAATTATTTTTCTGCAGATCTTATTGACATTCTATATAATTTTAAGATCTAAAAACAGCTTCTTGGGCCTCTGAAAAACAGTTTAAAAGGCATTATTATATAACAGAATGGTACATTTTTTGTTAGCACAACATTTTACAATTTAATTGATATTTTAACATCTTTCTATTTTTGTGGTAAAAAGAGTTAAAAATCTTCCTGTCTTGTGTTTTTTTTAATGAATGATCAAACCTGTCACATGTATGTCTTATTTCTGTTTAAATTAGGGATGCATATCAGCATTAATACCAGTATTGGTTGGATGATGTAAAATGGGCTGATATTAAGAACAGATGTTTATTTTGATGTTTTTGATTGTGTTTTTATGTTAAGCAGAGAAACAATGTCAGCCCTGTTGTATCGAAATATGTATGATAAATAATATCAGTGAAATTGTCCATAACAGCATTATTAACACTGGATATCGATATTGGCCCAAATCAGTGCATTTCTGTTTAAAATCGATTCAAGAGAAAAATGTCAATAACAGTGTTCAATTTAATTCAGTTTATTTCTATAGCGCCAATTCACAACACGTCATCTCAAAGCACTTTACAGTTCACCAGATTATTCAGTCAAATTCATTCAAAGTTTTCTATCTAAGGAAAAACCAGCTGATTTTATCGACTCATTGACTCGACAGCAATCCCTCACACTAAGCATGCTTGTAGTGACAGTGGAGAGGAACAACTTCCTTTTAACAGGAAAAAACCTCCAGCAGAACCAGGCTCAGTGTGAGCGACCATCTGCTGAGGCCGACTGGGGTTCAAGGAGACAGAGGCAGACATACAAAAGGCAGCCCTGTCCAGGACATATACAGCCAGGCAGACGAGCTCCGAGCCAGCTTCCATGTCAGAGGATGAAGAGAGCACATCCAGCCAGTCACAGACAGAGAAACAGGACTACACTGGAAAAACAGGCAGATCTCCAACATCTATAAACAAAGGTGTTGATGGCAGCAGCCATCGACTCCAAAACTCCAAGAAAGCTGCACGAGCAAGACTTCAAAATTTGTTCATGTTGAAGTTAGAAGGGTTTTTTTCCCATTGAAATGTATGTTTTTGTTTAAGCTCAGGTTTTATCAATCTGTTGCAGTTCTCTCATGAAGTTAAATATTTTCCTTTTTCCATCAGGTCCTCAGGAACCCCAGAAGGAACTTTGCTTTGGCAAAGAGCCGTCTAGAGGTCCTTCAGATCTACCGCCTGCTGCAGTGGATTCACAAAGGAGACAAGGCACAGATCAAGAAGCTGCTGAAGCGCGGGGTGAAAAATCTCATCAACCTCACAGAACCACGGGAAGGCTTGGGGGCGCTTCATCTGGCAGTTATAAAGAAAAATGATGGTGATGGACTCTTCCTCTTGCTCTGCCTGATAGTAAACGAGTCTTTTTAAGCAAACAAGTACTCAGAATGCTTCCTATGGCAAAGCAGCATGTGATGCTTTAGTCAAATCACAGCAGCAGCCATCCAAAAGCAATCACTTCTGTTGATATATAACTGGAAAGCTGTATTTATAATATGAAGGTCCTTTGATTCAGCATGTAGAAACTCGGGAACTGTACTCTTAGTAATTTGTTTGTGTAGCAGTTAAAGGGAATAAGCAGGACGAGAATGTTAGCTCTCAGACAAATAGAAAATGGCAGCAGAAAAGGAAAATGATGGATTTTTTTGGACGTCCCAATCATGAGTGTTTGCAACCCGAGTTTCTATTTCATACAATCCCACAGACATAGCCTCAGATCAGATTCACATGGATGTGAGTGTTTCTGTGCTCTCTCTCCTTACAGACCTTGTTGATTACCTCCTCTCCTTTGGAGCACACCCTGACGTCCAAGACATGTGGGGCCGCACACCTATCATGTTAGCTGCTGAGCTGGGGGAAGATGAGATTTTATCGCTGCTGCTCCAGAGTCAACCAGACATGAAGCTTGTGGACAAAGAAGGCAAAGGTGTGCAGATCAGGAACATAAATAGCAGGTTGTAGAACAGTAAAATAGGCCCTTTAAGGTGTTCAAGGTAATCCACTCAGCGTTGGCATGACAGCCATATTGGTTTTGGACATTAAAATATCTGTTTAACAAAAGCTGGGGGCAGAGGTTTGAAGTTTATGCAGAATTGCACACTTTTCCATCAAAAAAGTTGATGCTAGCAAGCTACAATGGCGTTTCTTCAAAACATACAGGCTCAAACGAGACAGTGGACAGACTACCGTACGTGTTTATAGAGTATGTTCTGGAAACGCAGGGATCTGATTTATAAACACAGACTAGTTTTAAGTGAACACAAAGCAAAAGTTACCACCCAAACCAGATCGCACCTTCACGAAATTAAGTAATGTCATCTGGATTTAACCATTTTAGTTGGTATTTTCCCGAAAGGAGATATATGTTTCTGTATACCGGAGACACTCTGTATTTATTTGATTATTGTTGAGTGAATTGTTTTACTAAAATTATTTGATATCCTGGTGAAGATTCTCAGTCATCCAGGTCATAGTAATTTTAAAAAAGTAAAAAGAAAAAAAAAACTATCCACTGGACTTGGTTTCCAAGTTTGAAGACGTTTCTCTTCCCATCCAGGAAGCTTTTTAAATTCAAAATGTCAGAAATAGCATTGAATTCCAAGCTTTATAGAGTAGCCCAAACAAAGCCTTGTTTTGGCTTAGAAAACATGCAAATTGAACCAGTAGATCAGGTCTGCCCCTTAGAAGTGGGGAGTCGTTAAGGTCTTTTGTTAGCCTGCAATACTCGATACTGGTATAGGCCTTTGAAAGGGGGGTCATTAGGGGCATTGTTGGCCTGGCTGACCAGGTGAGATGTTTTGGTCCCATGCATGGTAATGGGGGTTGAGATGATGGCGGGAAGGAATCACCTCTTTCTCTGCCTTGTAGGTTTTTGAGAGCTGTTTAACCTTAAACCTTAATTCTGACATTTTGAATTGGAAAAAGCTTCATGGATGGGAAGCGAAATGTCCTCAAACTTGGAAAACACAGTCCAGTGGATTTTTTTTTAAATTAATTGATATTTCAATAACATCTCATTTGGTCGTCATGAATGCGTATAAATATAAAAATTCAGAACCTATGCTTCTTTGTGGGTCAAAGAAAGTCAATAATAAATCCATATTTATACAGCCAAATTTGGTGTGTTATCTCCAGAACGGGGCTGTATCTGGATCTATATGATGATTCACCTTAAATGATTTTAAACTCTACCTGTGTTTCGTTTTCCATCTTGGATTAGGTCAGTTTGAAGGACCTGCATTGGCTTACGTCTCATGAAAATGCATGTTCCTTCTGTTTATATATTTATGAGCAAGAAATATCCCCAAAGATAACAGATAGTCTAAGTTGTTCTCGCTTAAGACCACATCAAAGTGAAAAATAAGGTAGCTCAATTCATTCTTGATTTTTATATTTACACGTTGAATACATTGTGCTCTGGTCTGTTATATAGCATGTCTGTATGGGTTCATCTGTGTCCGGCTGTGTACGTAATTACAGATCAAGCCCTCATGGTGATCCTCTCATGTGAGACGGGCTCAGTAACCTGATGATGTTGCTCTCTCTCCAGAGGCATGTTCAGCTCAGTCAAACCATTCGCATCCAAACCCTGTCTGCAAGGGTTTCATTATTCACACATTTCTGATTAATACATATAATTTAATAATGATTAGTGCTTTTTTACTGTAGTAGCTGAAAAAAAAGGCAAAATTTAAGAAACTGAGAATCACCCAGCCTCCACGTTACATACAGTTTGCAGGCAAGCAGGATCCAAACAGTCAGAATTTGATTGAAGTAATCAAACAAAATGTTGTTTGTTTGCAAATGTTGATTTGTGCATCCAAAATAGAAATCAACCAAACCAAACAAAATCCCAAACCACAAACGGGCCTGCTTTCTGAGAGGCAGCTAAAATGCTTCAGATGGGAATGCTGGGACAGCTGTTTCAGCTTTTGGTGTTACGCCCCTCCCAAAATACAGGGAGGAAAAGTTATAATAAAGTTCTAACCATACACTCTGATATTTAAAAGGTTTGTGTGCATTACAATGCAGAAGCATGTGAAAAAAAACATAAGCAACTGTACATCCAGCTGGTGTTTAAATATAAGGCCTTATAGGCCAACCCATGTACTCTGCCTTAAAAACCCATTATGTGACAGACAGGAAATAAATAGTGCATAGTTATGCAGTGAAAGTAAAATGTATCCAAGTTGTTCTACAATTGAAGGAACATAATTGGTGTTTACAGTTACAATCTAGAAAATAGTTAACCAGGAACCTGATTAGTAAGGCATTGTACCGGGTATTCTGCACATTTTGTATATACAATGCTTGCAGTGGGTAAAATTATCTTACTATACAGTCCAGTTAAATAAACGAGGTTGATGGATTTCTCTGACGGCACTCTATTTCTTTGCAAAGAAAGAGAACAAGATGGCATGATGTCCAGCCCTGCTCTGTCTAGACAAAGTTTGTCTCACTAACTTAAACCCTGCAGAAAGGCTGTGAAGGTCTCCACATACAGTGTAAAAGCAATTACAGTAAAATGGTAGGAATAAGAACCCTGAGAGACATTCTAGCTTGTTATGAAATCGATTATTTTCAATGCCAAACACTCCCTGATAGGATAAACAGCCCCTCTCTAGACACCTTTTAGTCTTGCAGCTCTGAGGCTTGAAGGAATGAAACTCAGAACTCATAAATAAATATATGAAAAAAGGGAATTAATAGGAGATCGATCTTTTCCACCACATACTATAAAAATTTTTTTTTTTTAAATGTAGCTCTAGTTTTTAAGAGCTTTAAGTGGTTGGTAGACTAGAAAAACATTAAACAAATTCAGCCAATTTACCAATACACAGCAGAAACAAGGGAGAATCCCAAAACACAAAACCTTAAATAAGGTTAACGCCCTTTACTCCAATATTACATTCACTTTTGCAATAGTCCAAGTTTTAACTAAGCTTTTGCCTTTTTTTTATTTTTGTCTCTCATTTGTGATTCAGGTGTGCTGTTCTACTGTAACTACCCTACTAACTGCCACGCCCGCTGCCTAAAATTGGCCCTGAAGAACCACGCCGATCCTAACAATGTCTCTGCCAAAGGCCTTCATGTTCTTAAAATGATGTGTGAAAAAGCTGACGAGCGTACCCCCTTGTGTCTCATCCTGCTAGATGCTGGGGCAAACCCCGATGCAGCAGATGAGGTACAAAGAAAAACATTTTTGACTGTAAGTTAGGAAGAAAAAGCTAAGGATGACAGAGTGTGTGTGATTTCTTCTCCACAGGGAACTGGTATGACGGCGCTGATGGAGGCAGCCAGGGTGGGGTCCTTGCAAGTTGTACGAGAGATTCTCAGGAGGGGTGGCAACCCCAATGCTCTCGATAGAAGACGCAACAACGCAGTACATTATGCTGCCAAGAGTGGATGTTTTGAGGTGTGGTAGCCACAAAAATGACCATGTTATAAAGGAACTGTTTAAAACCGAGGTCTTCAACAGGGGGTCCGCGACCCCTAGGGGGTCCATGGAGGTACTGCATGGGGGTTGCAAAAGTTTTGGTTGATTAGACTTTTTTTGATATTCCCCCCTGCAAGTTTTTCCACTACTTGAAATGTGTTTAAATCCACATTATCATGAATTCAACACGCTGTAGTAAACAGATAAATGGAGGCAGAAGATGTCTTTAGTCATCACAGTATCCACAGCTTGTAGCATAACCTTTGGTGGCAATGAAAAAGGTCAAATGTTTCTCGTTGTTTTGGGACTGTTGCTGGGCAACACAGACTTTTAACACCTTCCACAAACTTTCTATAGGATTGTTGTCTGGAGACTGGCTAGGCTGCTCCAGGACCTTGAAATGCTTTTAACTGAGCCTCTCTTTCATTGCCTGACCGCTGTGTTTGGGATCCTTGTCCTGCTGGTCGACCCAGCCAGGTTCCATCTTCAATGCTCTCACTGATGAAGGAGGTCTGGGCTTAAAATGTCACCATACATGGCTCTGTTTGTTCTTCACTTAACACGGATCAGTCCACTTTGCAGAAAAAAGCCCCAAAGCATGATGCTTCCACCTCCATGCTTCATAGTAGTTATAATGAAGCTCAGTGTTCTTCTTTCTCCAAAGGTGACAAGTAATATAGTTCTATCTTTATCCCATCTGACCGCGTAATGCTCTCCCAGTTCTCTTCTGGATCACCCATCTGGTCTCTTGGTGAACTTCAGGCGGGCCTGAACCAGTACTGGTCAAGCAGGGAGACACCTGGCTCTGCAGGACTACAGTCCTCGGGTCGTAGGGTGTTACTGATGGTAGCCTTTGTTCCTTTGGTTCCTGCTCTCTGCAGCTTCATCAGGATCATTTTGACCTCACAGGAGATCTTCCATGTGGTCCCAGATGGAGGGAGATTATCAGTAGTCTTATTTTCCATTTTCTTGCACCGTTGATTTCTTCACACCAGCCTGTTTCCTATTGTAGACCCTCTCCCCAGCCTAATGCAGGTCTATGTTTTTCTCCCTGGTGTCCTTCTTTGGTCTTTGCGATGGCTGAGTTTAGGGTCTGACTGTTGAGGCTGTGGACAGGTTTCTGTTATACAGCTAATGAGTTCAAACAGGTGCCATTAATACAGGTAATGAGTGGAAGAGAGGAGCTTCTTAAAGAAGAAGTTCTGTTCTGTGAGGAACAGACACTCCAAATAGTTTGTTATTGACTAGATACTTAGTTTTCTCCATAATTTTCAAATAGATTCTTTAAAAATCCTACGATGTGATTTCCTGAGTTTATTTTTCTGGATTTTTTTTTCTCTCGCAGTTAAAGTGAACCAATAATAAAAATAATATATCTCTATCAGCTTTTAGGTATCAATGCTTAAACAGTTAGTGGTTGACTAAATTGTTTTCCCACTATATATAGTGAAATCAGATGGTATCAGCTAATTAAGTAGACTTTTTACCAAATACCATGTCGCACCTACTTGAAGTAATTTATAGGTTAGCTACTGTTTACCTTTACTTGAGTATAAACACGTTAAGGTAGTGCTACACTCACTTCAATAAAATTTTGGGGTGCCCTACCTTTTTAACCCTTTTATTACTGCTTTAAATCGTGGAACAGTAACTCTTAGGTTTGCATTTGGACAAGTTATCCTGCAAAATGAGGTTTCAGTTGATAATGAGAACGATCAACTGTATTAATGCCAATAGTAATGTTCTGGGCATCTCTGTATAATTTAATAGTACTTTAGTAAAGCATGCTGAGCATTTTCAGATTTGGCAGTCAGTCATTTGTAACTGTAATGTCTTGTGTCCTTCAGGTCATCCCAGTGCTGTCAGCGTTTGGAGCAGATTTGAGTGTGATTAACATGGATCACTGTACGGCTTTACACTACGCTGCTGCCACAGGCAGCGCCAGCTCCTGCAAATTCCTAGCTCAGAGAGGTACTGTGTGGCATTGCAACCCCTCTTCAATTTCAATGCAATAAAATGAAGAATTTCTTCATCTTTGGAAGAAAAGTTAGGTTTCTTAACAAGCCCTCCAGCGCTTTAAGGATTTTGGTTACAAAATGAACAAATGACTCTTTTTGTATTGTTGGTATTGCAAGCTTATATCTCTGCTTTGATGCAGGGAAATCAAATCAAACAGGGGAATATGGAGCTGCAAGCGCAGCCTCAAATCAAATTAGGTAATACAACTGCTTCTTTTCATATTCATTGAAGTCTGCTGTGTGTTTAGGTTGTAACCCTAAAGTGAAGAACGAGGACGATTTGCTGCCGCATCAGATTGCCAAAGCCTCCGGTCACAAAGCAGCAGCCAAGGAGCTGCGGAAAGCAGAGAGGCAATATGGGAAGGGCAAGAAACCACATGGGAAGGGCAAGGAACAACATGGGAAGGGCAAGGAACAACATGGGAAGGGCAAGGAACAACAGGGGAAGGGCAAGGGAGCGGACAGTAGCACATTGATGTCAAGTCTGTGGGCCCTGACCCTGCATGATTGGTCAAATGAGTCTGAGGCGGAATTACAGGAAGCTTTTGGAGAACAGTTGGGCACAGTCGACGCAGAGACCTTCATGTCTGTGTTGGTAAAGCTAAATGCTCCGGTTGAACCAGACCAGCTCCAGATGATCATCTCGGCCCACAACAAAACAGGAGAGGGCAAAATCAATGTGAACGACTTTATCAAAGGCGTCAAATACATCAAGAAAGCTTTCCGGCTGTCTGCCTTCATGCCTAATAAGTTAAAGAGAGAAAAAGGAGTTAAGGGAGGTAAGAAGAAGACAAAGGGTGAGTTTGTTCCCCCCTTGCCTATTTGCACCCTCGTACCAGAGCTCCAGCCCAGGCGACCCGATGGAGGCCCTCCTCACTTCATGATTGAGAAGTACGCCAACATTTCAGATACCCTTCGCTTTGATGCTGACCACCCGCCGCTGCATCCCATAGTCAATGACTCATGGTGGTACATAACGAAGCAAAACAAGATTTACACCAACATCAACTACTGTGTGAGGAATTTAGATTTGGAGTCTCTGGACCTCGCCTTCAGTCAGGGCGTGCCTGTGGATACTCAGGATGAATTTTACAAGACCCCGCTGACGGAGGCCTGCTCCAGTGGTAACTATGAGGTGGCTCAGTACCTTCTGAGCAAGGGGTGAGTAACAGACCTCTCTTCTAGAGATTAGGCTTTGATAAAAGTTGAAGTGACTATTCATTTTTCCGTAATCTGCAAAAGAAAAAGTGATACAAAGGATTTTACATATCAAATATTTCAACATTTATCAAAAGGATGGACAATTAATTGTATTACCAATGCAACCACAATTCTCAAAAGATGCAGTTCCAACTCAAAGAAACACTTGTTACAATTGATAAAAGTAAGACATTAGCTTTCTGACTCTAACCCAAAAGTTGGTGGTCATACAATTAATGTGGTGGTTTGTCGCCACACAGCAGGAAATAGACAGTTGCAGCTAGACCAACGATCCCTGCATGAGAGCTGGAAGGAAGAGCTTTTCCAAGCAAGAGTAAAGTTCTGAAATAATGGACTGAACAAAAAAAGATTCAAGTGAATGAACCATAAAAACAACAACAACACTGAGTTTAGTTAAAAACTCTAAGGGAGCAAAAATCAGTTTCTATCAACTTGTTCTTTATACTTATTATAAATATGTCCTGTGAACTGTTAGATTGAAGAACAATCTCGTTGTGGCTAGAAAACACCATGGCTATTGATGCGATTATGATTAATGAGGTCTATTCAATATAACTGAATACTGGACTCCTTATAGAGCCAAAATGCTGGGACCTGCTGATGGCTTGATAGATGAAATATCAATGCTTCACCCAGATGGACTCCCAGTGTCCTGAGTAATAGATCTTGTCAAATGCAAATAGGGCTTTACACAATTATGATGAAAATGCGAGAAGCATCAATGCTCCCTGCAAGCAGATGAGCTCACTCCAAATGCATTGTGAGCATCAATAAGGTGTCCAGAGCCTCAACATGGATGCTTCTGCTCAGTTTTCAGTTATATGAAAACTGAACGGCTCTGTGTTTTATAACACAGAGCTTTTATAAGCTGAAAGATGTTTTATCCTATCTGACGAGCAGATTAGAATAATTTCTTATTAGTGATGAGGCCTAACTAACAGTAAGCTCCTATCTGACAGGGCCGATGTAAACTTGTGTGACCAGTTCCTTTGGACCCCCCTGCACCATGCGGCTCACGCGGGACATTTGGAAATTGTGGAGCTTTTGGTGAAGGCAGGGGCTGCAGTCAATGCAAATGCTCTCAGCGAGGGCACGCCACTCATGAGAGCCATTCAGAGCTCCCGTTTCGCATGTGTGGACTTTCTCATCAAGGCAGGGGCCAGAGTTGATGCAGAAAACAAGAAAGGTCAGAGTTCCTCCAAGCGACTTTTAGATGGAAAAAAAAGATACGTTTTTTTTAAACTTTCGACTGTTTCAATTATGTATTATTGGTGCAATACGTTGATAGATTGTATTTTACTGCATAATTCCTCTTTAATAGACAAAAGTAGGGTATATGACTAGAATAACAGATAAACCTAACCTTGACCTACAGTTTCTGACAAGCACAGGAAAAGCACTGCTCATGAAAATATAAATAATTATTCAACTCTTTATTTTCTCCCTTTCAGGACAAAACTGCCTTGAAATGGCCAAAAACTTTGGTGACCCACAGATAGTGCAGCTGATACAAGACAAGATGGACTCTCTCACAGCAGCTAAAAGCGCTAAAGCAAAGGCAGCCAAAGCTAAACAGGCTAAACAGAAGGTACACAAGTAGCTCCGTTCTTTAACAGAGCGCAACATAAAAAAAAACACATTAAAATCCTCTGCATGAAAGCTTTGTTTTTAATGATGCTTATTAATCATTTATGAAATGTTTCCTGACCGAAAGCCTTTGAAAGCCACGGAACTGAATAAGGATTTTTCTGTTCCTGCATGGAAGGATGCAGTGAATTCATTAAAGCTAAATTTCACCTACCGGTACTCTAACTGGAAGTCAAAACTTAAATATGTTATTTAATCAAATAACTTTCAAACTGTCCGATGTTGTTCTGTGAACAAACCAAAGTGGCTGTTTGTTAGACAAGCAAATTAAAGTGTGAATCGAGGTCAAATAATGGTCAAACAGATAACTGTGCACATAGATGGGATATGTTCAGAAAATTCCTTTTTCAAAATGTTTGAATTTATTAGCAAAAATGATTAGACTGGGTCAATCAGTTAAAACTGAACTCAAATAAACTAAGCTACCATGGACACAAAGAAAATCTGATGCAATGGTATCACAGTTTGGTATTGATTATTGTTCAAGAACCAAAGTTTATCTTGAAGAATTTGGACTGAGATCAAATGAGCTTTTAACTCATTCAGAGCAAATGTAGTTTTATAACCAATTCCCAATGCTAATTCTAAGAGCTAAATAAAACATTATTTGGTTAAATTACATTTTATGAAATGACTTTATGATGATAAATCAGAAATCAGTAACCTTTGGACCATTAGCCCTACATGTACATGTAAACGCTGTAAAACAAGTAGATATAAGAAATACAAAATAATACTAAAAAAGCAAAAACAAGGAAATGTTTTCTGTAGAGGTAAAGATCTGCAGAATATTAATAATGTTTTTAAATAAGCTTTTAGACCAATAAAATCTGCTCGGCCTGCTAATAAATTCATCTTCAGTTACAGCACATAAAAGTCACATTCATTGTGTTTATTGGTCAGGGAAGAATATCACTCATAATTAAAAAAAATAAATTTGTTAACAAAATTATTGGTAGTATAGTTTTTGCAACTTGAAACAACCTCTTTAAAGTTAATAGAACTAATAATTTCTTTTATTTTTATTTCTTCTCAACTCGTTTATCGTACTATCTAGGAGCTTCTGATTAGTAATCATTGCTTTTTGTTGCTCTGGGATATAAATGTTTTATCACCAAGTCTCCATAACAACCACTTTACATGCTGATTGTTTTTTTATGAGTTATATCAAGATCAGTCATATCTGATTGACTGCAAATGTAAAGATAGGGAGTTACACTCTAAGGCTGTCTAATGCTACGTTCAGACCGCAAGCAGCAGAGGCAGCAGAAGCAGTTAGTTTACAAGCAAAGTTAATGGTTGATGCGGATCTTGGCGCAGCAAAAGGTCCTGCAATGCGTCTAGAGCAGCAGGATCAGCGCCTCATCAGCTTCTGAGCATCTGACACGCTCGACATGCTTCAGAAGCAGCAGCTGCTGGAGTTGGAAAAAATTGACTTTAGCTGCTTGACGCGTCACATCAACCAATCAGAGAATCTGATCTGGGAGCTGCCAGGGAAACAGACACATCGCTGCTGATGCAGAGATCTATGATCACTGAGACAGCTTATTAACGCCTAAATTAACTTAAAATGTCAAAACCTGCAAGCAAAATATGTTTAATTTTATAGTTCTGCTGCTTGCAGTTTGGATTACGTACGTAAAAAACACTAACATCTACTTCCAGCAGCGGCGACCAGTAGTGGCAAACCGCTAAGAGGCGACCGGACCATAGGCGGCTGCTGAACGGGATTCCTAGTGACAGAGCACCGCTGGTGTACAGGGGTCTGAGCGGCTCCAACAGCGAAATATTTTATGAAGACAGGATTGTAATCTGGAAGTTTACAGTTGGACTTTCTCACTTAAAAACATATTAAAACTACTTTTTACCCACGGATCACAGCAAATATAGCTGCCATTGTCACAGGCAAAGAAATTATAGGAAAGCTCCTCCTAACGCCCATCAGACCCACTTTTCGACCCCAGCAAAGATGCTTCAGCCGCGCATCAGAACTAAACTTGTACTAGCATTAAAAATAAAGCAGCTCGAGTGTTTTTCCTGCTTCTGCTGCTTGCGCTGTGAAAGTAGCATAAGAGCTGTCTAAGACTGGAGGAGGACCTTCAGTGACTAACTTCCCAACAGAAGAGTCAAGTAAAAAAAAAAAATGAACTAGAGGAAATCTTGGAAAATATAGAAAGGAGGGGGATGTCCATCTGTTTTTCATTCATTTGTAAGTCTAGCTTACGGCTCTGAGCCAGTTACCTAGCAAAGCCTGTTCTGTGGTCTGCTTATCAACGCTTAAGATCACATAGAACCTTGTTTCTAAAAACATACAGCTGCTTATGTTTCTCCCTTTAAGGATTTCCAACAGTTTGGAGAAAAGTTTTGCTTTTATACACGCTCCTTAGAGTGGTTTCTGCTGGGTAGATGTTTGGATACATTTTTGGTTCTGTATATTAACTCTAAAGATACTCCTTCAGGGTTCTAACTAATACTGACACAGTGTGTTTCAAGAAATAATTTACAATAAAATAAATTGATTCATGGAAATGATTCGATATAAGTGGACAAATGAGGAGAAGCTGCTACATTTCAATGAATTTTACAGTTTTTAATTTTAGAATTGAACTCACATTAATTCTCTCCTTGTTGAGTTAAATGAATAGCTTCTGTTTGATGACTCTTGCTTACAGCCCATGTAATTCCCACATTCTTTTTCTTAGGACATTAGAATGCTGTTCTATATTAATAGTGATAGTAATGACCCCAGCTCCAGTTCTTTGATGTCCCCCCAGCTTTTGAATCTTCTTTTCTTCAAAATCATGCATCATTTGTTCACTTTTTTCTACTACACATTTTCCTTCCACTAAACTTTCCATTGATTTACATAAAGACAGATCATCTTTGAGCAGTTGGCTTTTTAGCAAAGACCGCCCACCTTGGTGGAGGGTGTCAGGGACTGTCATGGCTTCACTGCCTGTAGCTAAACTTTTACGTTTGAATCACTTTTTATTGATCTCAATTAATTTACCAATTTTTCTAGGAAACTGACAGTTTCATTTCATACTCACCAGAAATTGCAGAAATTAGCCTTTAAAATCTATTATGTGTACATTTTATTTACATGACACCCTTTTCAGACAGCAGTCATTAAATGCTTTATAGTAAGATCATTTACAAATAATTTACAATTAAGTTTTTCTTTTTTAATTAAATCGTAATAATAGATTCTAAATGTGAATATATTCCAATTAATTAAAGTGCAGATAGTTATAGCTCTAATCGCTCATGCAGTAAAAACTCCTCTGAATGTTAGAGCAGCAGGTATCAGTGCTTAACTGAACAGAGAGCAACTTTTACAGATGATTTACTTTGAAGCAGACCCAGGAACTCAGTGAAATCGATGCAAAGCACAGCCTGGTTGATATACTGCTGCAGATAATCAGCTGCACTGCAGCTCAGCAACGAGGAAGAGGAGTAGAGTCAGAACAGCTGCAGATTGAGGAAGATCAAGGCTCTTCGTCTTCAGGCAAGGACCGCTAAGGTTATTAGTTCTTCTGTATTGGTAATAGGAAAGGTGCTGAAAAGGACAATAAAAGACTGCACGAGTTCAGTTTATACTAATGTTAAAATACCGGGAATTTAGCTTTATTTTTAAAGGATTTGTACGAAGCTGGTGTTTGTCTGAAACCTGCTTTGGAAAACATTGAACTTTGCATCAGATTTTACATATATATATTTGTAAAGTATTTTTTACTTTTGGTTTTGACTTTTTTTTTTGTTATTTGGACCTTTAATGTTTTGATTCTGAAACTAATCAGGAAGTTTTTCAACCTTTTTTATGCCATCCAATGAGTTTTCTTGTTGTTTTAAATAGTAAACACAAATTTAACAGAATAACTTTTCTATTCTTTCCAGAGATTGTAGTAACTAATTAATTTACTTGAGAAACTTTTAGAACACAAAAAGAAAAAAACTTTTAGGAAGAGTTTTGCAGCATTGTATTTTTTCTTGAGTGAAAATAAACTCAAATTCCTGGCTGCTCCATTAATTTTGAATACCTACACTTAATGAAAACCAGTTTGTTTTAAACATATGCAACACTGAGACACTTTTTTCCTTTTTGTACACAAGGCTTGTTGGATAAATATAATTTTCCATATGATAAGGCTTCCATGTCATTTGGAAGCAGAGTGATAATAAAGTAAACAGCATACTGTAATTTAACCTATTGTTACATACTATAACTATTGATTTATAAAGTTTTATAACTCAAACAAAAATAAATTAATTGTCATGATTATGGTTTGTAAGTAAATCCATTATTTGGTACTTGAGTAGCTTTTTTACAGAATACTTTTTAACTTTTACTTGAGTAATTTTTAATAAAGGTTACTTTTTACTTTTACTTGTTTTGAAATATGAGAAAGTAGTTCTCCTCTTACTTAAGTGCAATTTTGGCTACTCCAACCTCTTCTGTTTCTTTCTACGTCAGTAATAATAATCTGAACGTCATCTTTTACTAGATTAAACCCTGAGATTCTGTTCTTTACATCACTTTGTCTTGATCCATTTAGGTGGCTATTACAGAGGGGGGTGTGCAGAGTAAGACAACAAGCGGGACTCCAGGGAGGACCCCCACACAGATTCCCTCGCAGAACATCGTCCTCCATAACAGCATGATCACTGCAGGAAAAACAAACAGAGTGGATATCAGCTTTGTGCCAAAAACCGTAGGTTTGATTATGTTGATCTGCCAGCAGATCCAGTGAGTTATAAATACTAGATTTATTTTGATTATTTATACATAAGTCCTTTTTAAACCTGATGACTTTTTGTCTCAGGTCTGGGGTGAACCGCCCAACAGCAGCCAGCTGATGTCAAACATAGAGAGGCGAAAGGAGCGTCTAACCCTGGAGGTGGACTTTGATGACCTGCTGATTCCTGTTAGCCAGCGCTTCCAGACCAGGATCCTGGAGATAATCAAACCAAAGACCCAACAGGAGGAAAGCCAGAGACAGAGACAAGTGTCATAATAATGTTACTCATCTGATGTTGTCATCATTGTTGCTTACTTTAATCTACTTTTTTATCATACTTGACATATAAAAGGATATCCAACATTCTTCTATCCCCAGAGCTTTGGGATTTTATTAGCTTCTGAATGACAAAAAGCATTGAGATGATGGGAATGTGATTAATCTTTAGAATAAAAATGTCCTTTTAGTGTTCCTTATTTCCTTTTCGTCTTTCGTTTATAGCAGTCCCTTTCCAAAATACTTATACCCTTTCATTTTTATTTTTTTTAAACTTTTGTGTAGTTTTGTTATCATTATGAATTACTGAAAATGAAAGAGTCCATTTGCAAAAGTAAAAATAAATTCAGATTGAAAGGAATTAAGCTTCTGATTCCAGTTTAGAACCACTTTATACATTATTTATAGCTGCAGGTATATTTCCTAATGTGCACCTCTACAGACTCGGCCATATTGAGCGGTGAGCAACAGTAAAAACTTTGACCAGACCAATGCACTATGCACAGAGTGAACCTTCACCATGCTTAAGCCTTTTGCAGTGTTTTATGCAGGTTTCCTTCCATCATTACCCAGTATAATGAACCATTGATCAGCTCTTAGCATCCTCTCTTTACTTGCTGGAGATAAGCACCTCCACAGCATGATTCTACCACCACCATGTTAGACTGTAGAGATGGAGTGTTCAACAAACTGCAACACTTAGCATTAGGTTTTACTTTGCTCTCATTCCTTTAGAACACCTTCTTCCACATGATTTCTCTCAATAATGGTTGTCTTCTTGCCACTCCTTCGTAAAGGCCAGGCTCTTGTGTTTCTTAGTATTCACTTTGCTTTTCTCAGATACTCTCTATTGTTTTTTACATATAGTTATATCAGAGTTAGCGTGTTCATTCAGATTTGACCATATAAAAACATGTTTGTCCTCTTTAACCCTATTCCTCCAAGACAGAGAGATGACACTTCAGAGGTTCTTGTTAATGTAGCAGCACCAGTCCTGTGGTACGCTTTTCTCTTTGCAGCCCTATGTCTTGTCCAGTAGGTGGTAGTGTTAGACAACCCTAGGAGTATAAAGGTCTGGTTGTTTATTAGGCTGTTAGATTAAAAAAAAAGAAAGTACTTGGAGGGAGCTCTTTCTTCTAGCACAGAAAGAGATCAAAATGGCAGCCATGAGTTTTTGCTGCTCTCCCATGCATCGCTATGGTGACTACAGGGTACAAATCTTTTGCACAATCATTAAATTTACTTGGGAAAAAAATCAGAAAAGACTGCACCTTCACTCCTTTTGTTTAATATCCACCTCAGGTGCACGACTCATTCTCACTGTTTGCATTTTATTTCTTTTTGATGTGCATATAAGGAATAACCTCAGGAATGGAGGCCACTTTCTGTGATAAACAACACACAGAGGCACACTCATCATCATCAGCACCATCGCAAAATGAAATTAGTTTGCAGTGTCTCCAAGGTCCTTAGGGACACAGTTATATAATGAAAAAATACAGGCAGAGGAGGTGGAGGGAGACAGCTTTGAGGTTTGAAATTTATGCCGAGGATTTTATCAAATATACATAGAGTCATGAGGAGGCTGGGAATAGAGAGGGAGAGAGAAAGGACATATAAAGGCACACACATCTGTAAGGATATGCTGAAAGAGTACCAGAGATGGTGAAAAGGAAGTGCAAAACCAGTGTAAAAGCCCAGCAGGGCAATTCATGATGACAGCTGATGAGTGAGGAAGAGCATCCACAGTGGGGACTGGGAAGGCAAAGGGACATGAAAGGGAGGAGATGGAGGGAGAAGAAAACTGGAGAGAGAGAGAGAGAACAGCAGAGGGTGACTCAGACGATGGCAAGGGAGCACGATGGAGGAATGAGAGGGGGAAGAGCAGAGGAGTGGGCGGGAGGAGAAGATGAGGGCTTTTCTAGTACAATCAGTGGCCACACAGGTTAGAGGGAGTAAACAAGGCTGGCTGCTGACTCTGTGACGCAGTGGGTCTGCCAGGGCGTGGGCTCAGGCTTATATGGTCATGCAGTATGCCTATGTGCATGCCGTTTGGGTCTGTTGATACGCTTTCAGACTGCAAAGATTTATATGGGTCAGTTTGCACCAAAGAATTCATTACTGTCATTAGAAACAGTCCTGTTTATGTGTCACATCTTAAGATGTTTGTATATTAAATGTTCAGATTTATCAGGCTTAGGCTGGTGGAGCTATTTAGATTTATAAAAATGTGAATGGGTCTACTGGAGAGGAGGAATTTACTTTGACTTATGGAGAATATCTGGGGTAAATGTTCCTTGTTTAAAAGCTTTTCTTCACCCTCCTCTCTGCCTTCCCCCCTCCTCTCTGCTTAGCATCAGTCTGAGCTACAATCAATGTGGGCTGCAGCCAGCAGCACTGCAGTCTCCAAGCTATGGACCTGCACCGCTTACTCAGCAATACGAAGCCTTCGCCTCCCAAAACAGCCCCCCGAGATGCACACACACAAACTCACAATAAAAGGTTTTATTACTCCCCTTTACCTCACTGTATAGTGGGGTAATATTCCCTACTTACTGCCGTAACGTTGCTTACATAAAGCTCACATGAACAAAGTCGCAGATGTGCTCATGCATGCATGTGATCCAAAGAAAACATCCTGAAGCTAAAATGCATTGGCACACAAATTCTGCATGCTGCGTGTGCCGAACAGAGAAATGTCTTAAGATTCATAATACTAAACAAGTTACTATTTGTTTTTTTTATAGGCCAACATAAAGTGATGAATAAATATGAAGTGAAGGAAACATTTTTTTTTTCTTTTTGCAGATACAGATATAAACATGTTTGTATTCAGACCAGGTGGGGTATGCTTTGTGAAAACTAAACTGATTGTCTGACCAATTTGGAGAATTACTGTTTCATTTTGGTAGATATGGAGAGTGATAGGTTTGGCATTTTTCTGTGTAGAATAGGTCAAACTCAGCATCTTCCTGCAGTCCTCAGTCGGACTTATGTCTAGATTTTGACTGAGCTATTAAAAAGTATGATCATGCTTTGATCTAACCCACCGTACTGCCGCTCAATTCAATTTTGTGTTGTTTTTTTGCTGAAAAGTGAACCTTTGCTACAGTGTCAAGTATATTAAAGTCTCTAACAGGTTTCCTTCTAGGATCTTCCTGCATTTAGCTCCATCCATTGTTGCATCAGCTCTGAGCAGCTTGTCCTGCTGCAGAAAACATCCCTGCTGCAGTGGTAGTGTCTGACCCCACCACCCCACCCCCAAGATGATTTTGCATGTAGCCCGAAAAATGCTGGTTCCTCCCTAATCTGAGCAGAGCATCAAAGTCAAATTGTTGGAATAGACAGATTCTCCTATCTGAGCCATGGATGTCTGCAGCTCCTCCAAAGTCACCTTGGGCCTCTCTGCTTGTTCCCTGGTTAATCCTGATTTCCAGTCATATATGTGATATAATAGTAGATTTGCACAACTCAGATGAAATTAGAAACAGAGGAACTATGAAATGTTTTGTTTCATGGACCTTTAGAGGAAAATGAAAGAATCTTAATTTTTCTCCATGTACCAGTTATGACCTCTGCACACAGTTTGATCCATTGGATTTATGTGGAGGTGTCCTTATTAAGGTCAATACGGGTGATAACAAACACATGGTAGACCTGTTAGATTTTTATATTCAAAACCAGTTGAAGGCTATGTAATATTTTACATTACATAAATAAATAATAATTAGTTCTTAAGCTCCAGAAATCTAAACATTATTATCTGAATGTTCTGGTCTTTAAACAGGTTTTAAACAGGTTTTTAAAAATTTTTTCTTT